ATGCCGTCGGCCAGACAATGCCGGCTGGTGACCCCCAGGGGGATAGCCTTCTCTGTGGCAGCTCCTGCCCTCTGGAATGACCTACCCCCCGACCTACGTACAGTTGCGGACCTGCACCTTTTTCGCCGAGCCCTGAAGGCCCATCTATTCCGTGCGGCCGGCCTGGCGTTGTTTGATTATGTTTTAGTGGGGGTTTTGTATGGGGTACTTTTAGAGCAGGCCTGTTATTTAATTTGATTTTAGAACAGAAACTTGTGTATATTTATCGTGATTTTTATTGTCGCCTGTTCACCGCCCTGAGTCCCGTAAGGGAGATAGGGCGGTATATAAATTCAATTAATAATAATAATAATAATAATAATAATAATAATAATAATAATAATAATAATAATAATAATAATAATAATAATAATAATAATAATAATAATAATAATAATAATAATAATAATAATAAAATAAGTACTTTTGTTTCTACTTGGAAACCACTTCTGGACTTTGTGCTTGAGGTGGGAAAAAATGATACTATGATTTTGGGTTTTGCTGATTAGATTGATTTGTTGATATAGAAATGGCTAGTTCATACTACTATAGAAATGTAAAAAGTTGAGATTCGATATTAATGCCTTATTTTACTGCAACAGACGGAGTTTGAAGTCAACGCCTTTCTTTTCCTTCCCTCCCCCTTTCCACACTTCTTTTTCCCCTTCCCCTACCATTGTTCCTTATTATTTTCTTTTGTATCTTTGTGTTTTATGTTATATAATAATAATAATAATAATAATAATAATAATAATAATAATAATAATAATAATAATAATAATAATAATAATAATAATAATGAAAGCAGCTGAACAAAATTTGAAAATGTATTTGTGCAGCCAAAGAATAAAAGAGCAATCTCCATGTGAATTGGTTTAAGAATCTGGGAATTATATTTCCAAGAATCTGAAAAGTTGGGGGAACGTTGACCGGAAGATGGGATGGGGCATTTAGTGTGCTAGCTATCAGTATCAAAAGCTCTCATGTTCTGAATTTGTGACTGACAGGACCCCAGGAAGAATCGTCTGTTCCAGTGGAATGATGTTAAGCTAAACATGGGCCTCACCCAGCTGTCTTTCCCTCTGTCTTCTGAGCCCGCCTTAGGCACCTACAAATTGGTGATAGAAAAATCTTCCAGGAAGATTGCCGGGCACACATTTCATGTGGAAGAATATGGTAAGAAGGTTCAAGCCTACTTGTGAGCCTTGAGTAGAATTGGGTGATGACTGTACTCCTGTTAATCTCTCTAAGAATACTTTCATAAATGAAATAGAAGTGATATCTATGGATCTTCCACAGCATTCTTGGAATGAACTTGTGAGTCCAAGGGGGACTTCTACTTCAGATTCTTCTTGTGTTAAACAAGGTTCCTGGATTTCCAAGTAATGCCTTAGCACAGTGGTGGCGTACCTGTGGCACGCGTGCCAGAGGTGGCACTCAGAGCCCTCTCTGTGGGCATGTGCACCGTCACTCCAGCCCCGCCTCCCCCCATGGCCTCTTCCTCACCAGCAGCCCCCCCAGAGGAGAGTCACCCCCTAGCGTGGCCCGCGTGGAGCAGTGCAGCAGTGGAGCAGTGCAGCTGGGAGCAGTGCAGCTGGGAGCAGTGCAGCAGTGCAGCAGTGCAGCGTGGAGCAGTGCAGCTGGGCAGCAGGGACAAGACTCTGCCCTCGCGCCCCGTTGTGCACAGATGCTGCAGGGCATGGGCAGAGGGCATCGCTGCCATGGCACTGCAGGGCCGCCTGGGCAATCTGCTGTGGTGGGCTGTGGAGGTGGTGGGTGGCCCTGTGGGCGGGTGGGGTGCGGGGCAGGGTGGGCAGGGTGGCGGGGCAGTTTTGGGGCACTCAGTCTCTAAAAGGTTCGCCATCACCGCCTTAGCACAATGTTTCTCAATATCACCCATTTTAAGATGTGTGAACTCCAGCTCCCAGAATTCCCCAGCTAGTACTTGAAGATACACTAGACAACATGTAACTCACTGGGCCATTGTTTCAGAGATATTTCCTTATCTCAACTGAGTATCAGAATGGTCATGGGAGGGCAAAAAAGCAGTGGGATTGGGAGTGACTTCCAACTTCCTGCCAGCATCCCCATTAACTTTCTTTGTGGGAAGCAGGCAGGAAGTAGTGGAAATAACAAACCTGTGACTGCAACTGGCTGTGATGGTGTTGAATCTGTCCCTATTTCGCCAAATTTCAATCCCATAAGTACTGGATTTTGGGCGCATTCTTTAAGTTAGTCCATATGAAGTATGTTGATTCAAAAAATGTTGCCCAATTATGAACAGACAAAGAAATCGAAGAGTTTTTGTAGTATATAGAAGGGTTCAACTCTCAGAATTCCCTAGCCAGCATTCTAAGATGTGTGGAGTGGGGAATTGTGGGAGTTGAAGTCCACATATCTTAAAGTTGCTGAAACTGAGAAACATTGCCTTAGCATCTGTATCTCCATTTTGTCTAGGGCAGGGGTAGGCAACCTTGGCTCTTTTATGACTCATGAACTTCAACTCCCAGAATTCCTGAGCCAGGAATTCTGGGAGTTGAAGTCCACAAGTCATAAAAGAGCCAAGGTTGCCTACCCCTGGTCTAGGGAGAGAACCCAAAGTTAGCCCTTGGGACCAGCCAGGGCAGAAAAGACTCAATAACTTGGCATGCAGGATGTATCCTTAATTCTAATACTGGATTGGCTTTTAGAGATGCTCAGAATTTTCAGCTAGGATTCAGCTCCATGTTAATATGATAGGATAGCAAAACAGGGCAAACAATAACCTGGTTTGAAGAGCATATAAAGTTCTCCTTTAGAGTTGACATTTCTCTCCTCTTTTTAGTATTACCCAAATTTAAAGTTTTGGTGACGGGACCAAAGCAAATCTCAGTCTGGACCGGAAAATTTGAAATAACCGTTTGTGGGAAGTAAGATCTTTCTATTCCTTATTTTGGGGGAAAAAGGGAGAATGGAGGACTTCTCCCTGGATCTCTGTCTCATCCTAGGCACCTTCCTTTGGGGTGGGAATGTGGGGAGGGTATGAAAAGGTCAAGTTGGTGGCCTGAAAGACATGATAATGTTTTTAGAAATCATGTGTTGGAAAATTATACGGGTAATTTCCTTTCTTGCCCCCAGCACATTCCTAGTCACTCCCTATATCCAGTTTAGAGTAAGCCCTTGCAATTCTATATAGCAATTCTATTCTAGCAAAAATATATATCTTGGCGTGCATTGATTTAAAAAAATCAGAAAACATCAGAAATGGTTAAATAGGCAAAATAGGGATAAAAGCCAAGTAAAAACATGGAGAAATGTGAACAGCAGGTAAGAACTAAAATTATCTGCATATCTCCGGCTGTATAATGAAAGGCACACAACTTTCCAAGGCCGCTCAAAGCAATGCTGCTCATAATTTGTATAAATAGTCCCAAAGGGAGTAGTTTTTACTTGTTCTAGTTTTAAATCTTCGACATACACTGTAGTCGCAGAATAGAGATGAGAGGGAGAGGAGGAGACTAGGTAATTCCTCCTCTGTTCTATGCCACGTAGGAAAATGTGGGGGTGGACGAAGATATCTACAACTCCGGGGACTCCCCCATTCCCTCCTCTTCCAAACTCTCCTCTTTCACATCAATGATCTGCGGTGTTCCAGGACCCTTTCCAAAGATTAATTTAGGCACGATATGTGGATAAGATGCATTGTCAGCCTCAATCCTTCCTTGAGGCACCATTCACAAGATAAATGCCATCACTGTGTCATGAGCCTTGTGGTCGTCCAGCCCAAGGCATTACAGTGGTCAGAGAAGGGGAGCATTGCCATCAGTGTCCATAATCAATCATGCTGATGAAAGAATGGGGTCCCGTGTTTGGGGAATGGCTTCACAATATCCCTGGCAAGACGATTTCTCATGCTGATAAAATGAGTTGCAGTGATCAAAAGAATGAACAGATACAGACTATCTTGTTTTCACAAAAGAGCCAGGCCTTCTCCCTTCTGTATCATAAAAGCACACAAAAACTTACCGTGGTAGATTGTTGTTGTTGTTGTTGTTTTTAACTCTTTAATCAGTTTGGTTCTGGATTCAGGTACACCTATGGGAAACCTGTCCCTGGCCTAGTGAAAATGACTGTCTGCCGTCGTTATATGCAACATTATTCATGTCCAGAGACAGAGCTGAATCTGTGTGAAGAGTACAGTGGAGAGGTAGGTTCCAGACCAAGGAAAATGTTCTAGATGGGATGAGGAATGTGTAGTTCATCCAACGTTCTTCAGTTCTGATTCCTGCTAGTTTGAGCCAGCATGGACAATGGGAAGATGGGAATGTTAGCCCAGCTACCAAAGATGTTGACCGTCTTTGCTCTAGAGCAGGGGTCGTCAATCTTAAACACTCAAAGAGCCACTTGGACCCATTTTCCAGAAAAAAGAAAACACTGGGGGCCGCAAAACATTTGCGCGTGCACACGCAAGGTGGGTGGAGCTTGATTGAAGAGTTTAATTAAAAAGAAATAGAGGCTGCATTGCATGAGTTCTCTCTCTCTCTCTCTCTCTCTCTCTCTCTCTCTCTCCTTACTTCCCTCTCTCTCTCTCCCTCTTTTGTCTCTCTCCCTCTCTCCCCCCTCTCTCTCCCTCTCTCCGATCTTCTGCTCACCTGGTAAGCTGGCTTCACGCTGTTCTCCGACAAGCTGACACACATTCTTATTGGGCTGCCTCTCTCCTGCCCTTGGTCTGCCAGTCCTCTTCCCCCACTCAGTGTGTGTATGTGTGTGTGTGTGAGAGAGTATGTATGTGTGTGTGTGTGTGTGTGTGTGAGAGAGAGAGAGAGAGAGAGAGAGCTTCTGCTTCCTGCTTCCTGCTTCCTGTTGAGACGCAGCAAAGGCAGGAGCCCTGCCCAATAAGCTTGTCCACTTGTCCGAGAACAGCATGAGGCCACTTTATTTTTCACACACACACACACACACACACACACACACACACACACACACAGAGAGAGAGAGAGAGAGAGAGAGAGAGAGAGAGAGAGAGAGAGAAGGGAAGCGCAAGTGCCTCTCTCTGTCTCTCTCTGTCTCTCTGCAAATGGAGGAGGCTGGGAGCCGCAGGAGAAGGCTGAAAGAGCCACATGCGGCTCCGGAGCTGCAGGTTGCCGACCCGTGCTCTAGAGGAGCTAAGGCTACCGTCAGACCCCAAGCGAGATTCACACAATCTCATTAATCAGCTTCAATGCCAGGGAAAGAGAGTTAGATGACACAAAACATGGTTATACCAGCCCTTTTTTTTAAATCAGTGAGAATTTTCCGGCAGTGTCTCCGGGAGTTGCTTGATTTTTCTTATGAATTTCATAACAGGTGGGCTGATGCTCATCTGCCATGTTTTGAAACTCTCCCTGCCCTTGCATGTTGCCATGCCTCTATTTTGTGCTTGCATTAACAGCCTTTCCCTGATGCCTTTTTAGATTTCAAACCAAAGTTATATGAATGCCAGTAGGCGGGTATGGGTGCGTAGCTAATTTATGAAAATGAGGAATCTGGGATGCCTTTTCAAACTAATACATTTTATTAGAAGACTGTGTAATTTTCATGAGCTGCAGTTCATGACAAACTTGAACAATGGGCCCTATCCAACAAAATGAGTTTCAATATGGAGAAAAGCAAAGTTTTACATTTAGGCAGGAAAAATCAAAGATATAAGTACAGATTAGGCAAGACCTGGCTCAAAAACAGTAACTGTGAGAGGGCCTTGGAGTCCTAGTGGATGATCACTTGACTATGAGCCAGCAGTGTGCAGCAGGAGCCAAAAAAGCTAATACAATCCTGGGTTGTATAAACAGCAGCATAGAATCAAGATCACACAAAGTATTAGTACCGCTTTATAAAACCCTAGTGAGACCACACCTGGAATACTGTCACCATACTACAAAACAGATGTTGAGATGAGCAACTAAGATGATCAAAGGCCTGGAGACTAAAACATATGAAGAACGGCTGCAGGACTTGGGTTTGGCTAGTTTAAAGAAAAGAAGAAATAGGGGAGACATGATAGCAGTGTTCCAGTATTTGAGGGGCTGCCACAAAAAAAGGGGGTCAAATTATTCTCTAACGCACCAGAGGGCAGGACAAGAAAAAATGTTTGGAAACTGATCAAAGAAAGAAACAACCTGGAATTAAGGAGAAACTTCCTAACAGTGAGGGCAATTAACCAGTGGAACACCTGGCCTTCAGAAATCATGGGTGCTCAATCACTGGAGGTTTTTAAGAAGTGACTGAGCAGGGGGTTGATTAGATGGCCTCAAGGTTCTCCAAATCTTGTACAAAACCTGGCAAGATTGAGATGAAGCAGGCAAGTAGTTTCCCAAGAAATCCAGTTGGGTTTAATCTGTTAAATGTCCTCTTCAGTAATCTGTAAAGCACCCTTTGCTGATCTGATGCCTTCTAGCTGCATTGCTCAGGCTGGCTATGGCTTATGGGTTTTCAGTTCCAATGAAAACAGCCATTTGGGGAAGGCAACAAATAAAGAAACATGGTCCTTAAAATCATTGGCTTCTTGGGTTAGTAATTTTTTTGTTTACAGGCGAATGGACAAGGGTGTTTCTCTCAGGTGGTAGAAACCAAGATGTTTCATCTGAAGCAAAATGGTTTGGAAATGCATATTAAGGCGGAAGGCAAGATCATTGAAGAAGGCACAGGTATCTTTCAGGAAGCAGAGGAGGAGGGGGTTGGGCTAGATGTCAGGAGGAACCCCCTGACTGGGTGAGGGATGAGCCAATGGAACGGGCTGCCATCTGAAACAATGAATTTTCCTTCATTGGAGGGCTTCGGGAAGATTACGAATGGTCATGAGGGTGAAGGTTCGTTCTCTGAGCTTGTGGGTTGGTTTCCAAACATTTCATTGCTAGGTAACATCTTCAGTGGAGTTTAGGGGATGTCAGTGTTCTTCTATTGATAAGGGCTTCGGGTGTGGGTCTGTCAAGTGAGGGTCTTGTGATGGGTCAGGTGTGAGTCATCAGTGAGAGGCTGGTGATGGGTCTTGTGATGGGGAGGTTACATCAGGTCAGGCTCATTGGGAAGTGAACTGGAGGGGGGGAGAGGGGACTTGCATGGTTGAGGGTCGGTGCAGTCTCTGGTTGGCTGTGAGGTTGATTTGGATTCTGAGGGGTTCTGTGATGACCCAGGGCACAGCACAGAGGCAATGCAGTCAGCTGGCAATTCAAACCGTTCTTTTATTGCTCCCAATTTTCCCCAAATGCTCCCACATTTGCTGGCAAGCCTCCAACAAAATAACACACAGACCCCTTCAGCCGACTCTGGCTGAAAGTAGGTTCAAATACAGTATGATTAGCATAAGAAAGTATTCAAGGCCATAGAGATAACAAGGAAGAAAACATAAACTTAATGAGTCTGTTTGAATCCTAGCTTACCTGAGTAGTTTCCAAAAGAGAGAATCCAAAATACAGTCCGATAGTCAAGGTTTCCAGGTTTCCAAACAGAAGTCACAGAAAAGAGATCAGCAACAATACACAACACTCCAAGGAATCAGCATTTGTTCCTGACAAATGCCCCTCCCCACAGCATCTCCTTAAATCTCAATCTCCAGGTGTTCCTTGTGGAGAAGGGCGGGACGCACTCCTCCCGAGTTATTAAGCCTGCCTGCGTTGTTCCTTCCTTCTCTCCACTCTCTGTGCTCTAGGATCAGGTGGGGGTGGCCCTTGCTCATTGCCTGAACTCTGCCTCTCCTGTTCCCCCTGTTCCAATCCTGAAGGGCCCTGGCCTGCTTCCGCCTGCTCTTCCCCACATTCCTCTGAAGCCACAGACACCTCTCCCTCGGTCCTCCATAGGGTCCCGTTCCAGTTCATTTTCCTCTGCAGATTCAGGCTCAGACGGGGGCATGACAGGTTCCTAAGCTGATTGTAGATCAATGTGTCTGTTGATGGAATTGCTTGTGGAGTGCCAGGTTTCAATGAACTCACGAGCCTGGCAGGTGGTAGCGTGGCTGGTGTTGTTCGGTGTTGGTGTGGGTAACGATTAAGGATTTGGGATTGTGGCGTTGGACTGCCAGCCAGTGTTCGTGGTTCCTGGTTTTTAATCTGACGTGATGTTTGTCCCACATAGAAGTGGTTGCAATCGTTGTTGATTTCGTAGGTTACATTGCTTCTTTCATCCTTCTCTGTTTTGTCTTTGGTTCTGGATAATTCCTGGAAGACTGTGGCTGTGGGTTTGTGGGCTATCGCTATTCCTAGGGGTTGGAATGGCCATGTCAAGAGATGCTGCAATGCAGTGATTCTGAAAGTGTGATCAAGACCCTTTCAGGGGGTCTGGAAAGTCAAATAATTAAATGCTTTAACATTTCTCAGTTTTTCAATACAGTATATATTTATAGATATAACCTCTATCATTTTTTAAGAATGTAAAGCAGGGGTGTCAAACTGCCGGCCCGCGGGCTGGTTGCATCATACCCAGCTCTGGCAATGCAAAAAAAGTTGTGATATGTCACGACACGTCACGTAACATGGCGAGTTTGACACCCGTGATGTAAAGGGTTCCCAAGACCAAAATATTTGAGAACTGCTGCTCTGGTGGAAGTTCTAGCTCTAAGACATCTGAACAAAGGTGTGTCTATTTGTGTGTGTGTGTGTGTGTGTGTGGTGTCAATAGATCAGCATTTTTTGCTCTATGACAAGAGTGGGAGATCACTGTATCCCTCTCGGACCAGATGTGATCTAATTAATTAAATTAATTTAAAAAAGGAGGCGGGGTGACATGATAGCCATGTTCCAATATCTCAGGGGCTGCCACAAAGAAGAAGGAGTCAAGCTATTCTCCAAAGCGCCTGAAGGCAAGACAAGAAGCAATGGGTGGAAAATAATCAAGGAGAGAAGCAACTTGGAACTAAGGAGAAATTTCCTGTCAGTTAGAACAATTAATCAATGGAACAACCTGCCTCCAAAAGTTGTGAATGCTCCAACATTGGAAGTTTTTAAGAAGAGATTGGACAACCATTTGTTTGAAATGATGTAGGGTTTCCTGCCTGAGCAGGGGGTTGGACTAAAAGACCTCCAAGGTCCCTTCCAACTATTCTCTATTCTATTCTCTATTCTCTATTCTATTCTCTTTTCTCTATTCTATTCTCTATTCTCTATTCTCTATTCTCTATTCTCTATTCTCTATTCTCTATTCTCTATTCTCTATTCTCTATTCTCTATTCTCTATTCTCTATTCTCTATTCTCTATTCTCTATTCTCTATTCTCTATTCTCTATTCTCTATTCTCTATTCTCTATTCTCTATTCTCTATTCTCTATTCTCTATTCTCTATTCTCTATTCTATTCTTGTAATCTGACCCAGTCCTAGGCTTTAGACAGCTTAGAAGCATACAATACAAAGATAACAATATAATTTCAACTGAACATTATCAATTTCGATAACACAAGAGCAACCACTCTCTAGTAGAAATTGCTATGCAAGCACCCACCCATACCCACCCACCCATCCACACACACACATAGCACATCTTAGAGGAAAACATTAGCACTATTGCAAGATCCCATCTGGGTCGGTCACCAAGACCAAAGATTTATTCTTCCAAGCTTTCAGGCTCATGCCAGAGTTCATCATCAGAGAACTCCGGAGTGTTGATTTACCAGGAGCCGCCCTGCGGCATGAAACAAAATTACCGACTTAAGAGCCAGTCATTAATGCCCTAATTAATAACTAAAAGCTACATACAACTGGGAACTGTATAAACACAACTGCTGAGCAGCCCAACGGACATATTCCATAGACACAGAGAGAGAAGTACCCTGATGATAGTCCCAAAGGTGCTTTTTCAGGAGGCAACTGGACTTTCTTGTTTTTCTTTGAAGACGTTTCGCTTCTCATCCAAGAAGCTCTGAAGAAGCTTCTTGGGTGAGAAGCGAAACGTCTTCAGAGAAAAAACAAGAAAGTCCAGTTGCCTCCTGAAAAAGCACCTTTGGTATCACCATGACCTCGATGACTTGAGGATCTCCGTAGACATTCACCCTGATGATAGGCTCCAGCATCAGCCAGAAAGCTTGGAAGAGTATACCTTTCGTCTTAGTGACCAACCCAGATTGGATCCTGCAATATTATCCTGGAACATGCATATTTACTTTCATTCGCATTAGCAGGTTTTGAATGCAGCAGGGGTCCATTCCAACATCTGGAGAGCAGTTTCAAAAGAGGTGGGGGGCATAATAGATAAGGCTGGCTTCTGGATCCCCATTCCACCCATCTCCTGAGCTCACTGTATACGCCTGTTGCTAATTCAGCGTCTGTAGACTTCAAATGCAGGGCAATGTCCTCAACCTTTCCCGTCTCCTTCAATGCTTCCTCTCTTTGACAGGGGTGGAAATGACAGAGATGAGCACCATAAGCATCACTTCAACAGCCAGCAAACTGAGCTTTGAAAATGCAGAGCCTTATTATAAGCCTGGGATCCCCCTTTTCCTGCAGGTAAGGCAGCGGGAAAGAGATTACTGGTGGGGAAGAGGTGAACACTGATTTTTTTTCAACCAGTTGCTCTAAGGAGATGGCATCTGAGGAATCCTTGGTGGCCTCTCAGTTTGCTTGTTTTCTTGCAGACGTTTCATTACTCAAACTAGGTAACCTCATCAGTGCTAGTCTAATAGATGGCATTTCCCAATCACCTCAGTGCTATCTGTCCTCCCCCCCGCCCAGAATTTAAAAAAGAGCCTCTAAATTCTGCAGTCAATATGGCAGGGATGAAATAAAAGGATAGACCAAAGATCACATATATAGCCTGCCACAATTCCTTTAGTGACTTTCTCCAAGGGAGTATAGGACAATAATTTCAGCCTTTAAAATTTGGGGGAAGATTTGGGGTGGTGGTGTTAATTTGCTTATCACAAATATTCCACCTATGAAAACATGTTAGCAACCCTCTCCTCATAAATCCTGGTTCTGCTCAACTTGGGAGAGGGACCCTTAAGACCCTTGAGCAATGAATATTCATGGGTGAGTCAAAAAAAGTCAGGATAGTGGCTGGGCATCAAAATCTTTGCCCTTTTTAATGTGTGTCACATGTGCAACACACATAAAAAACCGGCAAGGCTCTGATGGCAGGGATGCCCCTAATGAGAGTACGAATCTAAAATAATTGGATGTGGGTTGATTTTTTTTCCCACGTAGATGAAACTGGTGGATGGTATGGATGTGCTGATGGCTAACAAGACCATTCAGATTACAGGACCTTCAGTGAAATATACAGCCAAGTACACAACCAATGAGGAAGGACGAATACAGTTTTCCATAGATACATCTAATTTCACAGAGGACTCCATCAATTTTCAGGTGAGTGTTTTGGAGTGAAAAACAATCCCTTCTGGGTCCTGCGCAGCAGTGCAGCAGTCGAGGGGTTCGGAACTCTGTGCCCTTCAGTTGAGTTTCTTCCTGTTAGGGGACCCTAAATGGGCCAGAAGCCGCCTCAAAGAGGCGGCAAAGAAGGAAGTCCTGGGGACCTCAGAGAGATGGCGGTTGACCCAATTGGTCCAGGATAAGCCTTCCAGAAACTGAGAAAGGCTAGTCTAACTTCAGAATCTAGCCCAAGCTGCAAGCAACCGAAGTCAAAAGCACTATTTTAAGCTGATTGTAAACAGCACATTTGAATTTGGGTAAGAACATCGATTTTCTCTATCCTACTTATCAACTTTCCTGAAGGAAAAAAAAATCCCAAGAAGCAAAAAACCTCCGAAAGTGAAGGAGGGGGATTTTTGCCCCACCCTTTTACTAACGAAAGTGGTGAATAAAACCTTTTATGGAGGACCAAAATGTATTGAAATGAAATGAAATGACTATAAAACCTAAATTTGGATAATTTTGAAGTTACTGAATTGTTAAGATTCTCATTTTAAAGGCAATTTGTTCATCTTGAAAATTTGAAAAATAAACCAGTGCTGACATCTAGTAGTGGATGAAGACTACGACAGCTATGGCTTTCATGCAGGTCTTGGCAAAATCTGGAAAAAACTAATCTCTACTTGTGACCTTCAAAGCTCTAACAATAGAAAACAGCTGTGACAAAAAAGAAAACAATCTGGGCTGTAGACAAAGTGAGACTTACAAAAGAAAAGAAAAAACGTTTTTGAACTTTCTGGATTACAAGTATCTATTTAACTCTGACCCCAAAGCTATTTGCAGAGAAAAGAAAATTTGGATTCTTGGTCATCATGGAAAGTCAGAGATTTATAGAAAGAACCTATCTAGAAAAATAAATACTTTTCAAGAGGAGATATATGATATGTTGCAACTAATTCAAATAACAATGATTCAATTATTCAAACCACGAAGAAATCCAAAATAACTTTGAAAATATAAACCAACTCATCTCCAATTTAACTTTACAACAAAAAAAATCCCAGGAAACAATAACAGAGAAGGAACAGATAAAATAGACAACTGAATACAAATTTGAGGACAGAGACTTAAAGATGGAACCTAACAAAACAAAGAAGTATGATTTGACCTAAGTGAAATGTTTTTTACAAGAGATACTGGATTTGGAAAAGACAACTTATACTTTAACACCACAAAACAAATTTGAGGATAAGAAAAAAGATTGGACAAAATGGACTGCAGAGATGCCAGGAAAAACACTAGAACTTTATTTTCTTTTTGAATCAGAACAGGGCTGGAAGGGACCTTGGAGGTCTTCTAGTCGAACCCCCTGCTCAAGCAGGAGACCTTATACTATTTCAGACAAGTGACTGCTCAGTCTCTTCTTAAAAACCTCCTGTAATGAAGCCTCTACAATTTCTGGGGATAAGCTGTTCCACTGGTTAATTGTCCTCACTGATGGGAAGTTTCTCCTTAATTCCAGGTTGCTTCTCTCCTTGATTAGTTTCCATCCATTGTTTCTTGTCCTGCCTTCTGCTGCTTTGGAAAATAAATTGACCCTATCCTCTTTGTGGCAGAGAATTGGAGAGAAAAAACTACTGGTCTAGCTTTTTCCTTCATTCGGTAACTATATTTGGTGAAAATATTATTATTTTTTGCTCTTTAAGCAGGGTGGTTTCTTTTCCTTTCTATAAACAGGGAGTTTACAAAGAAAATCAATGGTGTGACAATTCAGTCTCCATTTATCACCGACGTGCCTCGCACTTAGTGTACCGATTTTATTCACCAAGTCAAAGTTACCTCCACATTGAGCCTCTGCCAAAAACATTGAGCTGTGGTGACACAGAGCAGATTCGAGTGCATTTCATCTTGGATCCAAATGCGGTGAAGAAGGAAATTATCTTTCATTATTTGGTGAGTTGGAAAAGAAAGATATTCTTTTTTTCTGGAGACAGGATATACTTTAGGGGTATAGAATGTGAACATAGATTGATGAAGATTCAGTCTTAGGTAGAATAGTAACAGATTTTTGATTTCATCAGTGGCATAAACCACAACTGGAAACCTTTTGGAAGCTGGAGATTGCTCTTATACCAATTTTAGGAAGCTATGGGCCCCAGTGAGTAGAATATCATTACGGCATTATGCTCCAGATCTTCAGCTTGTGATTTTACAGTGAATTTCAGAGGGACAATTGCTTTTAAAAAAAATTAAGTTCAAGGACTGTTTGTCTCACACTACTGTTGATGAGTTTCTTGCTGCTAAATGACTGAAAAACCTGGTGCCCGATTTCAGGGGGTATTGAAAGTATCTTGATCAAGGGTGTCCACAGAAAGCGGTAAAAAAAGATAGGTTGGTGGCTGCCACCTTGCCGCTTTTTGACCTGCATTGCAAGAATTGCTCTTTTGTTTCCAGGTGATGGCAAAGGGAGACATCATACGAGCAGGGACACACACACAGCCGATGGAGGGAAAAGGTAAATGCTTCCCCACCCCCAGCTTGCATTCCCCTCCATGCTTGGCAAAGAGCTTCCTGAGAATGTCCACTCCTCCCATTTCAAGTGCTGGGCTTGAGATGTGTCTATGGCAGTGGTTCTCAACCTTTTTAATGCCGCGACCCCAACCGGTCATAAGTCGAGGACTAAACCAGTCGTAAGTCGAGGACTAAACCGGTCATAAGTCGAGGACTAAACCGGTTGTAAGTCGAGGACTACCCAACCGGTCGTAAGTCGAGGACTTTCCCTGCCTGGGAGCGCCACGCATGCGTGGTTCCGCCCCCTGCGCCGGCCGAGGCGTAGCTGGCAAGCGGCAGAGACGGAGCAGGCCGACCACCAGCTGGCCCAGCCCAAGGGAGGTAAGGCACCCGCTGGAAAAGGGGAAAAAATGGACAAAAAAAATGGTGGACAGCCTTGCTTGGCGACCCCCATGAAATGGTCGATCGACCCCAAATGGGGTCCCGACCCACAGGTTGAGAACCACTGATCTATGGGGACTCCAGTTCTCCCTTGCTGAATACTGGGTGCCCCTTACTCATCTGCAAAGTCTCTCTTTTTCCCAGTTGCAACTGGTTGCTATATTCTATTTCATAGGAAACATGGGTACATACAGCCAGCCTTGCCCGTGAGCAAAGGAAAGGATAGTCTCAAGCAGTGGGAACATGGGGGAGAAGAAACAGGCCATTTCTCCCAAATCTCTGTAGCCACTTCCTTCATCCTGAGTTTTTGTTGGGCATCACAGTGTGCAACAGTGACATCTTTTGCAATTAGTAGGCTGCCCAGTTGCCTACTACCATTTCTTTTAGGACTGGCCCTTCTTGGAGATCCACAGAGAGGCTCAGGTGTCGTTTTGCTTTTGAGGCTAACAAATACATGTAAGGCAGAAGGATGAAAGAGAGGGAAGAGGGTGGAGTTCCCAACTGCCCGGCACACAAAAGGCTCCAAGTTCAACCTTTAGTAATTCCTCTCCAGGCGGCAAAAACCTTGGAGAGGCACTAATAAGCACTGACTCATGGATCCAAGACAGCATCTTTGGTTTCTAGGGTGGCAAAGGGCATGTGCCACAGGAGCTCTTTTATGTTTGTTGCCCTCCTGTGCAGTGGGAGATGTTACCACCAGTGGCAGTGGGAGAGTCACCTGCTGATTCATGGGTAAGACAAGCCCATGCAACTGTGTAGGAGATTCAGCTCCTGATTTTTCAATGATCCACTTCTGTCCCACATTTAGAATAGAAGAATAGACTAGAATAACAGAGTTAGAAGCAACCTTGGAAATCTTCTAGTCCAACCTGCTCAGGCAGGAAACCCTATACCATTTCACACAAATGGTTGTCTAGTCTCTTCTTAAAAACCTCCTGTAATAGAGCACCAACAACTTCTGAAGGCAGGTTGTTCTACTGATTAATTGTTCTAACTGTCACTAAATTTCTCCTTAGTTCTAGGTTGCTTCTCTCATTGATTAGTTTCCATTGCTTCTTGTCCTGCCTCCAGGTGCTTTGCAGAACAGCTCTTCTTTGTGGCACTCCCTGAGATATTGGAACATTGCTTTCATGCCACCCCTAGTTCTTTTCATTAAACCAGACATACACAATTCCAGCAGCCGCTCTTTATATGTTTTAGCCTCCAGTCCCCTAATCATCTTTGTTGCTCTTCTCTGCACTCTTTCTAGAGTCTCAACATCTTTTTTACCTTGTGTTGACCAAAACTGGATGCAGTATTCCAAGTGTGGCCTTACCAAGGCGGGATTAACACTTCACGTGATCTTGATTCTATCCCTCTGTTCATGCAGCCTAGACCTTTCTCAGCTTGTTGTGGTTGCCCTATTGGAGTTTGATGTATTCCAACTGGAACTCATACCTTCTAACATTCCTCTTTTCAATCTCTCTCTCTCTCTCTTTTCTCCACCTGGGTTTTTCATGCTTTAGAACCCAAAGGAGACTTCCTTTTGAGTCTCTCGGTGGATGTCGACACGGCTCCCGTGACCCGCTTGCTCCTCTACACCATTTTGCCCAACGGAGAACTTGTTGCTCACTCCAGAGACTTCACTGTAGAAAAGTGCTTCTCCAACAAGGTAGGTGGAGAAACAAAATGTCAGCTTTTAACCTGGTTTTAGAAATAGCATATTGATCATGTGGTTAATGTCAGATGAGTTCCCCTTCTGACCTGCACTGAACCCACAGAAAAGGCAGCACAGATTTACAACATTACAGAATAACAAGGGACCTTGGAACAGGTGATTGGTTTAGAAGACCTCAAGTTTACTAGCCATTTACTAGGAATATGTTAACAGACTATTTAGTTAAACTAATAATTTTAGGGAAAGTTGAAACTCAAAATTGAAAACCAAACAGGGGACCAGATAACCACCTATCATACCTTTATCTACACTATATTCTTTAAAAAATTATTTTCCCTAAGCTCTTTATCTACACTATTTAAAGTCCAATGTCACTATAGCTGTCCATCTTCCTTTTCTTTATCTTCTTTATCTCCCTCCTTTTATTGCCCACATTTATCTTTTGTCACTTTCTAGGGCTGTATGTTTTTCTCAGAGCTCCGTCTTCTTCTTTTTATTTCTTTTATTTTCTATTTCTGTTTGTGTCAAAGCCCTGACCCTTTCTTCCCCCTTTCTGCTGGTTGGATCCTGGCTGGGCTTTAACCTCTTCTCCTTTTTCCCTATTTTGGCTCTGTCTGAGAAAAACAACTTGAAGAATTTTTCCTCATGCAGCTCTGAGGGAAGGAAATAAATAAATTTCCCTCCCAGTTTTCTCACTGGGCGCCTCTTTTCCTGTTGCCGTGTCCCCACAGGGCTGTCTATATTTTTATTTTTTTTTAAATTTTATTCTTTATTTTTACTCCAGAATCTGGCAGCCCTGTGGGGACACAGGGGGCGGGCCAAGAAGCTTTGAATCTGCCTGCACAGCCTGTTTTTCTGCAGCCTCCAAGAAGGATGGCTTGGGGGTGGCAGCGGTGGGGGAGTGTCATTTCTTATTGCAGAAGAAATGCCTTTTTCAAAAACCTGGTTTATGTTTACAGGCCAGACTCTGGTTCTCTGATCAAGAAGGCCTGCCTGGGCAGAAAACCCAACTCCATATTGCTGCTTCCTCTGGCTCCCTCTGTGCTTTCCATGCTGTTGACCAGAGTGTCTTTCTCTTGAAACCCGAAGCCCAGCTCTCCCCTGAGAAGGTGAGTCATATGAAGAAGGTATGAAGTCATACGGTCATATGAAGACATGAAGAAGGGCTGCAGGAACAGGGTATAACTAGTCTAGTGAGAAGAAGGACAAGGAGTGACATGACAGCAGTCTTCCAGTATTTGTGGGGATGCCATGAAGAAGAAGGTCAACCTATTTTCCAAAGCACCGGAAGGCAAGATAAGAAACTAATTTGGAAACTAATTAAGGAGAGACTTCCTAACAGTGAGGACAATTAACCAGCGGAACAGCTTGCTACCAGAAGTTATGGATGCTTCATCACTGGAGGCTTTCAAGAAGAGATAGGACAAACACTTGCCTGAAATGGTATAGGGACAGCTGCTTGAGCATGGGGTTGGACTAGAAGACCTCCAAGGTCCTTTCCAGCTCTATTCTGATTGATTAATTGAGACCCAGCTGTCTTTGAATTAATAGAATTAACAGCATAACTGAGTTGGAAGGGACCTAACTATTTTCTCCAGCTTAGTGCTGCTCATACCTTCAAGTAACTATAGTGTTCATTCTTTAGATCTCCTTAAAACTCCCCCCCCCAAATACAGGTAGTTCTCAATGTACAGCCCTTTGTTTAGCCCTTTGTTTTGACTTATATAACGCTTTGTAGTGCTTTTACAGCCCTCTCTAAGTGGTTTACAGAGTTAGCCTATTGCCCCCAACAATCTGGGCCCTCATTTTCCTGACCTCGGAAGGACGGATGCTGAGTCAACCTTGAGGCGGTCAGGATTGAGCTCCTGGAGTGAGCAGTAGGTTAGCCTGCAATGTTGCATTTTAACCACTGCACCATCACAGCTCATGTTTAGTGACCGTTGGAAGTTACAACAGCACTGAAAAAAGCAACTCACATTTATGACCATTGTACCATTCTCATTGTCTTGTGATCAAAATTCAGGCACTTGGCAACTGGCTCATTTTTATAATGGTTGCAGAGTCTTGGGGTCATGTGATCACTTTTTGCTACCTTCTGACAAGCAAAGTTAAGGGGGAAGCCAGATGTCAAGCCCTCCCGGGCTCGACATACAGGAGGGGGGAAGGTGAAGGACAGCACATTGGGGGAGAGGACGGCCAGCACCGGTTCCACGCAGCTCACCGTCTTGGCGAAGCAGCTCGAGCGGCGATGCTCCGGCGGGGGCGTTTGAACCTCTGGACAGCTGATGGGCAGTTGGCATGCAGCGGATGCCGAGCGGAATGCTGGACGACGTTGGGAGCCGCGCCCACGCGGAGGAGATGCCTGAACAATTTAACGAGCGGCCACTGGACAGCTGACGAGCGGGAGCGTCGCACTGTTGGGGCGGGGCTTCCCAGAAGGCTGAAGATCGCGCAGACGAACAGGAGGCAGGGGGTCAAGCTGGGACAGCTGCTGCGCTTTGGACTAACTACAGCCAGATGCTGGTTGGGTGATTGGAGGGTGGGGATTTACTTAAACTGCATTACTAACTCAGCAACTGCAGCGATTCACTTAACAACTGTGGCAAGGAAGGTCATAAAACTGGGACAAAACTCACTTAACAACTGTCGGGTTTAGCGGCGGAAATT